ACTATCTGCGTTCAAAAAATGTAAACCAATATTTCATTGTCGACCAAAACCATTCTGCTCTTGGTGTCATTGACGGTTGTATAAAAATGTTAAGAGACTTAAACCAACCACATGGTGGTGAAGCAAATGAAATGTCATATGACGACAAATATAGACACTTCTCCCAGGCAAAGATGAGACAAGTTTTAAATATTTACAATAACCGTAAACAAAAAGGTTTGGGAAACCACTCCCCCGAAGAAATGAAAAACAACCCTGACTTAGAGAAAGACTATATATTTAATAATTTAGTCAAAAGAGACAAACAATAAAGAATGCCGGGCTTCAAACTTCAGAAAGGTGACAAAGTAAAAATAGAAATACCTAAACGCGACCCATATGAAAATACTATTGACTATGACAACAATGGGAACTCGACAGGTACTCACATTCGTGTTCGTAAAAATAGAAGAAAGTATACAAGAGAATATTATGAAGTTTTAGGCAAACATGGCAAAATGTACACACTGCAAGCAGAAGATAAAACTACTATTGTCAGACCTCGTTTCAAACTTGTCAGAGTTCAAGGTGGTATACTTTCAAAGACAGTTCCTAACAAATATAAGACAACTCCTGACGAATATGCTAAAGAAGTTGAAAATGACGACTAAGCAATTCTATACCATGCGTCAACTGTCATGTAAGGTGGCATGTATTCTTTACTTTGTCCCGTTGTTTGCGTATATCCTGAAACGAAATGTGTATGGTTTCCTTCTCCCTGCGTGTTATTCCAGTAACAATTTATAGCAAACTTAACGTCCTTTTTAACATCATATCCTTTACCTTTTGTCATTCCTGACCAATCCCAATATCTATGACTATGCCAACCTGCTTGAGATGTACTTAAATCTATGTAATGACTGTGTGCAGGTAAATTTTCACCTGAAATCGTTTTACTTCCACCTGTTTCCTTTGAAGAGTTTGCACAATACAAAAACCTGTCGACTATTTGTTCCCATGCACCAACACCAAACATTACTTGAGGACCTCTTGCATCCATAGATGTATAAATAGAACCTACTGGGTTCATTAAATCAAACATATGAGATATTATAGGATTGTCTCTTTTGAACTTAAAATATAGTGCAACTATTTCTGGTTTCTTCTGGTTTGTGTCAGAATATTTTTTATAATATAATCTTATGTTTTCAGGGTAAGTAAAGTCTTGACTATAATATTTATTTCTGTCATCTGTATAATAATATACTATTCTCGTTTTTTCTATTGCATTATATCTTTTATATCTATAATAATCTAAATATAATGTTAGCTTTTGTTCATCTACATGTGGTGTTCTGTCGTCATCTCCATAGTCATAATAATGTGGTGCCGGAGCTGGGTCAGGTAATATCATATCCACCATTTCATAAACTCTTAAATATTTCTTTTGTTCGTCTCCATATAAGTTTAAGTAGCAGTTGTTGTCTAATGGAACTTTAACTTGTGTACCATCATTCTTTTTATAGCTTACATACATTTCATTGTTATTTTTCGGAATGAGTTTATACCGTGTACCATTTTCTAAGGAATGTACCAACTGCCATCTAAAATATTTATTTTCTTCATTGACAGAAAAGTCACCAACAATAGTTTCAATATTTTTTGTTCCTATCAAACTTTGGTATATTTCATTGACATATGTTTTATCTGCTTTATTTTCAAGGCTAACGTTTAAGTCTGTTATTTCAGAAGATGTATGTGTATGTCCAACGTCACTTTTCCTGTTTAAAGTTAGTTGTAAGTTTGTGATATTTGCAATGGTATGTGTATGTCCAACGTCACTTTTCCTGTTTAAGGTTTCTTGTAAGTTTGTAATATTTGCAATGGTATGTGTATGTCCAACGTCACTTTTCTTGTTTAAGGTTTCTTGTAAGTTTGTAATATCAGATATAGAATGTGTATGAGTCTTATTTGCTTTTGTCTCTAATATTTCCTTAAGACTTGGTATTTGGTTAATATATTATATTATAATTTATAACAAATTTCCTCAAACTATCTGTATGTCATTCAATTCCCGGCCACTACATTCAATGATGGACCATTTCCTTCAAATTTTGAAATACCTTATTCAATTTGTTGTATGGAGCCCGTGATATTCAACACTATGGAGCTCCTCCAGTTTGGTATCCAAGAAGAGATAAAAGCTAGCATGGGCTACTCTCAAAAATGCAGGAAAGAATACTCCACGATCGAATACAAATGTAAGTATCCACAATGTCAAGCTAAATTCAAAGTCCGGATAATAGATCAAGATAAATATGAACTACTAATCCACTCTGACTCTCATGATCATTCTGCACCTCCGAAATCAACAAAAACAATATCCTCATTATTTGTCAGAAATTATCTTAAACATTACTTTGAAAACAATATGAATCATGCTACAGCTCAACTTAAGTGTTTCCAAGACTTAAATATTTCATATACAGACGAGGAGTTACTTTCAATATTTGCACAAGGTCCAGATGCATTACGTAAATTTGCTCAAAGAGCTGAAATTGTTTCCAAACGCTTTAGTTCGGATGAAAAAGTTTCTTTAGCTATCTTTGTCGAATCTGTTCAAGAAAGTTGTCCAGAAGATTTAATTGAATTTATCTCTGAGCCGGGAAAACTAGTTTTTTTATATGCACCTTTCGAAGCGAAGGCCCTTGGTCACCAAATTTCTACGTTTCACATCGATTCAACGTATAAACTTCTAAGGGCCAACATTCCATTATATGCACTCACAGGAAAAACAGAACATACTATTGTTTTTCCTTTTTTGTATTTCTTTATTTCTCCTGACACAAGCGAAAATATTCAATATTGTGTTTGTCGTTATTTTCAATATATTAATAGAGAACCCGAGATGATAAGTATGGACTGCGCCCCACAAATAGCCGAGGCAATTGAGCGAGGTATTCCAAACTGTCATATTCTTTGGTGTGGCGTGCATGTCCTTCGCGCCATATTAAGAAAAGCGGATAAGTTTAAATCACGAGACAATTTTGAAGAATTTTATAATCTAATGAAATTATTAGTATTCGATACTAAAGAAGAATCTCCCGAGGAAGAACAGAACCAAGAAGAAGAAAATCCTAGAGAGGAACCAGCTCAATCTCACTTACTTCAAGCAGAAGAAATTGAAGAAGAGGAACAATATGAAGAAGAATTCATCGAAAATGAATTTCAACCTTCTCAAATCTTTTTACCACGAGAATCTTCTGATGATCCAAACGATTCTGAATTTATTCCAGAAGAAGAAACGTTTGAAACAAGTGAAGAAGTTCCAGAGCACCTCACTCAAGAAGAAGCTGCAGACATAGATGCAGTTTATGATCGAATTCTTGAAATTCTTTCCACTGAACCGAAAGCCCAAAAGTACTTCGATAGGCAATGGAGGCATCATTTAGATCGTTGGAATAAGCGCTATCGCAACGGAGGTGACGCGACTAATAACGTCAGTGAGTCACATTTCAAAGTTCTCAAGCATTCTTATTTCCCAGAGAGAAGGAATATTCGATTAGACGATTTTGTTGTTGAATTATACACAACGGTTGTTCCAGCATTATTGATTAAATTTAAAGTTCAATTAATCAATAGTGATAAAGTTGTTCGTATATTACGAAAAGCTAATGACCATGAACAAATATTGGAAAACAAAAAAGTCGAATGTTTGAAAATGCTTGAAGCAATATATTCAAGTTTGCAACAAGGATCAATAGATTCAAATCTTGTTTATTGTACTTTAAAGGTACTTTTAAAAAAGAAACAATTAATGTAAAAGATTCAAATAATTTTTTATTATTATTTTATTAATTTTTTAAAATAAGGTTAATAAAAAAGTGACACTGGATAGTTTGTCCCACACTCTTTGGAAGAATTGCTTCATAATCCACATAATATGCTTTTGGATTACTTTTATCTTTTTCTTTGTAAATTCCCAGAAATTTTGCTGCCTTAATAACTGCATTGTAACTGATTTGAAATTGTTTTGGATTCATATTGAGAGTCCAATACAATTTTTGAACCCCACATTTGTAATTTTCATAAGAATTCTGAACCTTCAAAATTAATTCTGGAGTTAATTCCTCTTGTAGAGGACCACTTTTAATTTTTAGTGTACCACCGATTTCTTTGAATGCTTTTTTGAGAGTATTTCTTGAAATTTGTTTGAAAATTGTAACATTTTGATAAGAATATGGAACTTTTTTCAAAACTGTTGCGTAAGTTAACTCACCACTTTCAAGTTTTTCATACATATATCTTACCCATTCATTTGGAATACGAGGTCTCGAGTTTTCGTTCATTTTTTTTACTTTACAAAACTGTTTATTTTTCAGAATTTTTAAATTTGAAAAAATCCATTCTATATCTGATAAATAATATATTATTTTTCAATCAAAATATTTTGATTATCATCTCAAAAGTGTTCTCAAAACCTAGTTTTTCTTATTTTGGATAATCTTAATATTTATATTATTATAAACTAATTGAACACCATATGTTTTTGTATACTTTTACAAAAAAAAATTGATAGATTTGTGATACTTCCCCCGATGATAGAATTGAATAGCTTACATTTTGACAGAACTTAATATGGGACAATAATGGAAGTACTAATGTGATTTGAAGTGATAGAATATATTACCATCTTACTAAAACATATACTTTATTGTTACATTCACAAAATATTAATCAGAACACTAGGAAAAGTGGATTTTCGAAAAAAGACGATAACGATTATTTGCAAATCGCCTCTCAATTTTGAGAGACTTTCAATTTTTACAGTGGACCCTTAAAAGAACTTACTTTTTACATAAAATGATGCTCTTTGGGTGATTATTGACAGTGTCGCATCTCCAAATTGATATGTAGAGATAGTTTATTCATTGACCTTCTATTTTTTATGAAGATTTCATAATCAGAAATTAATATTAATAAGACATTTAACAAACAATATAAAATATAAAATCATAAAATTATTTTCCTGAAAACTTCTTGATTTCATTCAAACATTCAAGAGCTTCACTGATGTCACAGTCTGAAATCGCTTCGTTAAGATGATAGAATGAGTTAATCAAGTTATTAGCACTCTTCAAGACTTTAGATCGATTTAGTTTACCTTCTGAAATAGCGTTTGGAGGAACACGGAAACACATACCTTTGAACTCTTCACCGATGCAAACACCGATGTCGATGTACCAACGAGGGATGTCGTACTTAAGAAGAAGGGCCATCTCAACACGTCCTGTCTGTATCTGCTGTGAAAGGATGTTCGCTTGGTGTGGCATGTAGATGTGTCTGAATGATGACTCGGAGAAGAGGATAGGATACATTCCTGATGGAGGAGAAACAAAAATTCCATCTGCTGTGATATGAGGAACGAATCGATACATGAAGATATGTCCGGTGCAGTTCACACCATCAAGCACGTTCATAACTTGCATAGCATGAACTAAGACGTTGTTCTCTTCTTCGATAGAAAACAAAACAATGGTAAGTATACCGTGTGAGTACTGGCATTGAACAAGGAATGGTTTAACTGAACTGTCGTCATGGACATAGACAACAGATGATGATTTACCGAACTTGAAACAATCATTCACGCATTGAAGAAATGTGATGCATTTATGACCATAGAATGTTCCTGAGATGTTCAAAATGTGTTTCCTGATTGAAGGAGAATCGTTCAGTTCTTCTGGTGATTCCCATTCAACATCTGGTGCTGGATATGAAAGCATCTCGATATCAAGAAATTCATCACGAGAAATGTCGAAAAATGACAACCTGATCTTTCGTGATATTTTCTCGTTCTGAACTGAGAAGAACATATTCAAGAACTGTGGAATCGCTTTCATAAGTGGTTTCGCTGGATAAAATGCGAAATCACCGTTATTTCCTAATGGAACTGTTTCAACAATGAAAGGAAGACCGTTAGACTTAATTATTCGAACTTCACTCTGCTTTCGTTCGATGAATGAATTAAGTTGTTTAGATTCAGTCAAATTAGTAATAACTGAGAAATCTGATGATGGAATTTCACCCAAATATCGTTTGATAGGAGGACTTGTTTCTATTGTGAAATCATCACCACGAACACGTGACATATCATGCAAAACACCAAAAATAATTCCATTCATAAGCTTAAAATTATCAAAAATACCTGAATTATATTCATTACTAACATCTAATGCAATAAAAGTGACAACTTCACAATTATGAATATTAGAATAACTTTTTCTTGCACAAATATTAATAAAACGTCTGTCATTTGATGATTCCCACATAGGAACAACAATAGATTTGCATTCACCAACTTTCATTTGAAGAGCTTCGAATGTACGTGTTTTGATTGCATTGAACATTTCTTTGTTGAATTTTCTGTCGTAAAGATATCCTTGCGACCAAATAAGTTCATCGTCGATCGTCTCAAAAATACACAATTTTTTGGATGTGTCAACAACATGTGAAATGTGTGTGAAATCGGTAGAAAGCTCTCTTGTGCAGATCTGTGTATGGTGATGTATAGTAATCAATGATGTAATGGTTTGGATCAGTTCTATGATTGATCTAAGAATTGATGAAGAGATATCTGCTGCAAATACCATCAAATACGTTGTTTCTTCAACAACAATTGTATGCATCGTGATGCGAACTTGTGATAAACTAGTTCTGGCTGTAACTCCATTGATAACTTGACTTTTATCTAATTTGGAGATTAAAATGTCTAATTCCGGCCGTAACCAGTCTTGTGAGAATAGACAAACAGGAACTGTTTCATTGTTCTGAACAATGTAGACACCAATAGCTGAATAATTCAATCTTTGATATGATTCCCGTAAAATCTCAACATATTTGGAGAAATTTGGTTTAGAAGTAACACCATTCTTGAATATCTCATAGTGGATACCCATGAATCGACCAATTTCCATTGATTGCCTGCCAAATGCTATTTGTTTGTCGCTTCCTGGTCTAATAGTAAGATGGCATGGATGCCTATCAATAACCATGTTAAAAGAAACAGATGGATTCAAGTCTTTGTCTAATTCGACGTCAGCAACTAAAGATTTTCTGATATTATCATAAGTTAAGAAATAAATTGATCCGGGAACTGTGACATGGTATGGTGAATCTAAACAATGTGTTATGACATGAAATACATTGCATTGTGTAATTCCTGAGCCAATATTTTTTAAAACAATTTTGTAAAATTCTGTCATTCCGTTGCGGTTTTTAACGTATATATCGTGTGATTTGTTCTTATTAGCTTCTTTCTGACCAATTTTGAAAATTTTGTAACGAACATCTTTTGGAATCGAATAATCAAACGGAGTCAAGAAGAATCCTTTTGAATTAATGAATGTCATGAAGAAATCATGCGGTTTCTTTGATTTAATCGGTAATTCAAGAAGTTTTAAAACAGCTGCAACGAAAACTATCAAAATAAGGATTTTTCTGAGACAATTGTTAAAGAATCGTATGATAATGACGGAAAAGTATTTCCTGTAGTATATGTTATTGGTATCTTTCGAGTATTGACGAAAATCAAACTTTGTTTCGTTCAAAAATTCAAAATTTTCGTTAGTTATCTGAGTTGGTGATACTATAAATTCGGAGATTTCATCAAATTCACTTGTGATTTCATAATGTTTTGAATGTAAATAATGAATATATTTAATATCTCTGAAATTAATTAATGAAACGCGATGTTCAACTTGTTCAATATTCTTATTTTTGTATATATAATACAGTTTTGTTTCATTTTCTAATCTAAAATAAGTCGATCTTTTGAATGAAAATGCAATTCGATTTTCTGGTGGAGATATTAAATATATGTATTCGTTTTGATAATTCTTATTACTATTTAATACTGATGTGCCTTGCTTGGGGAGTAGGGGTAATTTTAGCTAAAAGTGACGCGCCTGTAAAAACTGACACACCAGTGAAGGGTGTGATTACCGATCGGTACTTTCGACAGTTTAGAATTTAAAATTTTTTATGGAACTGTTGCGAGTTTCATAAAGAATTTAAGGAATATAAGCAAAGATTTGAATCAAAATCTTAGACCTAAGCCGCTCGATTCGCTCGCGGCTTCCGCGAATTACAGATCAGCAAAGATTTGAATCAAAATCTTCGAACTAAGCCGATCGCTTCGCTCGCGGCTTTCTTTATTATTTTAAATTTGCATATTTCCATCAAAAGTTCATAAGGTAAAAAATTTCGTTTATTTTTACTAAGAAAAAAAAGGTTTTTGATAATAAATTTATTTTATTTCGAAAAAGTAGCAATAATCGTAAAAGGGTATTGATAGACTTGCTAAAGTAACTAATTTTAGCTGTCAAATACTTTTGTATTTTGAAGTAAATTAGTATAAATTTGTTTTTACTTTTATTTCGAAAAAGTAGCAATAATCGTAAAAGGGTATTGATAGGCTTGCTAAAGTAACTAATTTTAGCTGTCAAATACTTTTGTATTTTGAAGTAAATTAGTATAAATTTGATATTATTTTAACTCCCTTTGAAAACCTCAATTTTCCATACAGAGGGAACGGGAATAGCATCCAATATTCCCTGAGAATGGTTGCGCATTCTCAGTTCCCTCTATATTTCGAACGAAGCTCTCATCGGTCTTTTTTTTAATACTAAACGTTTTTTTCCCCTGTCACTTTTAGCTAAAATTTGGGTTTGCCCTTGCTTGGGTGCGTTTCTCTTGATATGAAGACAAAAAATTGTATTAAATAACATAAAAAATTATGAGTTTTTCTTTTAAAATTTCAATTGCTATATGCAAACAAACAAATATTCCTTACTAAACTTTTTTGACCGAAGAATTCAATTTTACATTTTCTCTCAAATTTCATGTAAACGCGGAAAGATTCTTGTACAAAAGTTACAGGCTATGATCTCTCATATTCAAACGGATTAATAATGAGTTTCATCAATAGTTCTATTTGAGATAATTTATAACCGATATTAATTTGAGAAATATTAAACAATTGATTCCACAATAAGTATGATAAGCAATTTGACCACAGAATCCAGCGCCTAAATGCATCTTCTTGGTTTCTTGAATTTTTCTTAACGAATTTGAAGAACGGAAGTATATGTTATCAGCGTTTTAAAAATTGTTTTTATATATATATTATTTAGAAGAAGATATGTTTACTGATACAACAAATGATGTTTTAAAAACATTGTGAACAATATTTTTGACGTCTTTCATTTTTAATTTTTTTTCTGATACTTTCTTTTTATAAAAATATGTAGCAGAGCATTTATCTGTTGTATAATGAGATATAAATGAATCTAATGAATCACCTGATTCAAATATTCCTGAATAACCATGATGTACAGTTCGAACAGTGACATTATTATTCTTAAAGTAACAATTATCAATAGCTTTTGGTTTTTCATAAAATAAATGGTTTACTTTATTACCTATGAATGAACAATTTGAATATGTACAAAAAGAATAACAAAGAATCATTGCATTATCACTTCCTGTATATTCATTGTTTAAATAATTACATTTTGTAAAATTAAAATTACCAAAATTGCATATTCCACCATCTTCTGTAGATGATGTATTTGATGCTGTTGTGAAATTAATAATTCCTGTTTCTTCTGGATCTTGAATATTATATGCAGGACAATATTTAATTTCATAGTGATAAGATGTATTCATATTACTTACTTTGATATCTCCAAACAAATGAAAAAATGCAGCATTATATCCACTGCATTGTGATACTGAACATTCAAATGCATAATTTTTGGTGGTACTAAAATCAGGTGATTCAATGTAATATGCACAGCCAGAACTTTCGCTTGATGAAAGTAAACAACAAATATGAACTAAGACGCAATCTGATTCAAGGATACAGAATGATCCACCGTCATCTGTGGAACTATTGTTGTAAAAGGAGCATGTTTCAAGTAATACGTTGCTGCTGGAATTAAGGTAAATTGCTCGATTTTGGTAATGGAAAGAAAATATTGCATAATGAATGTAATAATCGCCTTGGCCTGATATTGCTTCATTTTCGGTCTTATTAATGAACTCATTTGAATCGTAATAATCTGAAAAACTTTGTTGAAGTTGAAGAAAGCTTTGCTTCGTGATTTATTTTGTTCAACATGCATTAATTGGCATTGATTCATGTAAACAGTTACGATGTTATCCTGAAATTTAATCAGTATGTCGCTCGAAAATTTAATTTGATTGAGATGTCAAAATTCATAATTTTTGAAAAAAGTGACATTTAAAATTATCTTTTCATAAATTTTGACCTTGTCTAGTTTGGCATCTTTGTATTTTGTCGGATAGATGGCTTGTCATATAATTCCAACAAACTTTACACTTTTATTGTGTTTTTATAAATTACCCAGATTTTCCTTACTTTTACCACTCCCCATGTAATTTCTGGGGAAAACGATAATTCATTTTTTTTATGGATGAATAGATCGTTTTCCTAGAAAGGACCTCATATCTCTGGCTAAAAAGAGTGTCAGATCCTAAATAGGTTATTGATCTAGTGTACAAATCCAATAAAAAGCCTATTTTTTTGGCTTTTTTGGTGCTCATTTTTTCGAAGATCTACATGAATATGGGGAAACCATCGGATTTTTTTGGTTAACCCACATCTTCATGTAGTCTGGACTATCTTTCCTCGAAGGACCTCTTTACGGGTGTAAAAACTCATAAAGTTCTCAAAAGATTCATTCTCGATCTCCATGCTGAAAGAATTTACAATAAAAAAGAGATCTACGCATCAAACTACAGCCATAAATGAACTGAACCCCTAAAGCTCAGCTCTTAGTTTATCAAAAACGTCGAAATCCTTCTCATTGCAATCAAATTTTCTCAATAACTCATAAGAAAAATCGAATTTTGATTAAGCCGATGTTATAGGTATCACAAATACTACAAACTTGAGCAATATCGAAATTGCCAGCAAAAGTTTGAAATTGCATTGCTCATATTTGTTTTGTAAACTAAAAATCTGCTTATATTATTCATTAATTTTTTATATTTATTCATATACTTTAATAAAAACAATACTATTTCACCTTAAAAATGAATTTCATAAGTCAATATTATTTTTTTGAAAATGTATCAATTTTCGATTAAAACAACATGAGAATAAAATTTACGCAAAATTATTTTAAAAAATGGTTTTAAAAATTTACAATAGATGAAGAATAAGATTGCAAGAAGTTTTGAAGTTTAATTTTAAGAAAAAAAATTCGGATATTATTCATGGATCTAAGTAATCTGATATTTGAGTATCGGCACCATGCATAAAACATATAATTATAGTTTTTTTGGATTTTTATGATTTTAAATATATTCAAATTTGGCAATCCAATAGATTTTTAAAAAATAGGTAAATAAAAATAGATTACATATGCAGCAGATTTAGAACATGAAACAAATCTTATAGTGACCCAAAAGAAAATTCATGATCCAAAAAAGAAAAAATTTGGCTAAATGGGAATCAAACCTTGGCATAATGAATCATTATGTCGGATGTTTCCACTACACTACACCGGCAGGTCGAAAAATACCCTTGGTGGTTCTATTTAATAGCTACTCCCAACGATAGGCGGTGTCCCCAGCTTTAGAGAGGTGGTAAAAGTAAGGCAAATCTGGGTAAATGCACCAAAATTTGCATGACGGAGATTTTGGAAAGACTTCAAGACGATTGTATACTTCTGCAATGATTATTGGCGGGATACTCGTATTGCTGTCCAGAAAAGTTATTTTCTCGCAGAAATCTTTTTCATATGAGAGATGTTCAATTCAAGAATTCGATAAACCATGGATTGCTACTCTTTTCATGTCTATAGGATTATCATTTTCGAACATTATATACAAGCTTATGCTCGTTTTTGATGCGAAAAACTATCGACTATTCACAAAAATTGAATTTCGCTTATATCTACAAGGCCTAACAATAGCCATTCTTGATATTATCTATTCAACTCTATACAGTATTGCCATAGTATTGATAAAAGAGCAATATGCCACGTTATTTAGATTTGTCATCATATTATTTACAGCTTGTCTAAGAAGAGTCTGGCTAAAAGAAAAGCTTCTTGCATATTCATATACAGCACTCGTAATTGTTACGATCGGTGTCGTTCTTTCTTCAATTTCCGTTATTTATGATCAATTAAAGGTAGATACTATTAAATACAATGCCACTTTCTTTATTGCGCTCACACTACAAATTTTGGCGCAATTAGCCTTATCAATTAAGACAATTCTCGAAGAACAAATTTTACATCAGAATGACGTCCATCCAACATGGTTTTGCGGTGTCATTGGTATTTATGAAACAGTTATCATCCTATTCATGGTATACCCAATTGTTAATTTCATTCCTGGAAAAACAGGAGCCGGATTATCCGAAAATTTTTGCGATGCAATCAAAATGATTGGACATTCTAAAGTTTTAATCATTGAGTTTGTATTGTTTCCGCTTATTGAGCTGTTTTATAATGTTGGAATCCTAGGAGTTATTTTTTCCACCAGTGGAATCCACAAAATTGTTTTTGAAATGGTTTACACTTCATTTGCATGGTTTATTGAGTTATTTATATATTACGCGATGAAAGGAAATGTATTCGGCTTAGCAAAGGATATGGGAGCAAAATGGGATAAGTACAGTCCAATGAGATTAGTTGGAATAGTTTTGATTTTCATTGGCTCCCTTCTTTACTCAAAAACAATCAAATGCAAATGCTACGAATACGAACAAGCTGATACTCAAGTATTCAGATTATCTGAAGTTTGTTCTATCGATCATGAAGTTTGAAAATTCAAAATTGTGTATGTTATATTAGATTAAATATTCGCTTTGCTATTTTTCTTTTTTAGATTTATCTTTATTGATCCAAAATTAATTTACAGTAAACAACTTTTGTTGTAGAGTACTGCATCATGAATAGAGTCGTTCTGCTTCAATTGAATCGCTAAGAGATACTAACTAATATCATAAATTCATGACTATTATAGCGTATCATTCGATAGTTTTTTATTAATGGGTATTTTTTGATTAAATAAAGGATATGAAGACGCTGATGTATTCAATATGAAAAATATTCGATTCAACAGCATTGTGACAATCTATATAAGATGTAATATTGTGTCGGTGTCAAATTTTAAAGAATGAGATTCGAAATAAAAAGTTAAAGATTAATATAATGCTATACAAAGGTATGAATTAATTGTAATATAGCTTTTAATATGGAAATATTCATGGAATTCCAACAATAGAAGAGATAATTTATTTGATCCAAAGATAATAAAATTGGAATGTGGATATGTAATGTGGGAATAATAAAGCATGAAGAAAGATGCATGTACGCGACAGAACGAAATTCAATTTTGTTCAAATATAATTTTTGGAAAATCATTTTATAACTCCCCTATTCCTATTTCAAACATAATTACATTGTGGATAAGATAAATACACATAAAGAATAATCGGTAATTAGAAATTATTAATTTATTAAAAGAATTGCGAAAAAATAAGAATGAAATGATATACGGTGAGCATTTGTAATGATATTTTTATAATAAATGTTGAAAGTTGAATGATTTTTATTATTGTTTTGTTAGTTTTTGAGAAATAGAGTATTCTATTTGGATATATTAGTGTGATTGTGATAGTATTATGCAGTGTGTGAGCATATTGTGAATGATATTTCTAAGTTTTTATCATTTTTGAAAAATAAAAATAAAAAATTATCAAACATGTTTTTATATCAAAATCGTAAAGTTTGATGCATGTAGTATCTGTTTTGATTTATATTATTCATACTATATGTTGAAAAATCATATATATATATTTACAAATGTAAATGTAGATCAAAGGATTGAGTTTGAATTCATTCTTCAATCTTCTCAAAATATTGAGAGAGTACGTTAAATATTTTTCCGATAATTTCGTGTGGCTTATATAATCTTGATATATTATCAAGAGTATTCATTTCATCAATAGAAATATCAAGGAAATTATCTAACCAGAACAACTCACAAATAACTGTACGACATTTTTTCAAATTGACAAATAGAATATTTTAACGCATTAGCATTGGTATTTAAAAACATTTAAAAAATTTGTCATTGTAAAAAAACGTGCTCTCAACAAAAACATTTGAGAACAATCCATTTAAATTTTCTAATAAGAGAGTTGGAACTTCAGAAAGCAATTTATCGGAAAGAATAACACCTGTTCTTCTATAAGTAAAGATCCTTTCTTGCAAAAAATCAGTGCAATTTCGTAAAATTTGATGGATCCGATAAATCTGTTTGAGAAGGCAAAGAAAAATGAAATCCATTAAAATTTTTGAGATAAGTTTTTATTCACACTCATTCATATAGTCCATTATGTTTATTTCGCATTTTGTCGAAATTTATTATTGAATTATTTTGTCACATTGAAAGTTCATATTTATCATGAGCGTTTCAGATAACTGCCCAGAAGATCATCACAAGAGATCAACTAAGAACAAATTCAGTGAAGAAGAAGACAAGATCATCATTGAGAAAGTTCGCTCTCTTGGTTGCAAGTGGTCTCAAGTTGCGAAATTTTTACCAGGAAGGAACTCTCGCCAAGTCAGAGAGCGTTACAACAATTATTTGTGCCCATTAATCGACACAAACGAATGGTCACAAGAGGAAGACAAAAGTCTCATGCAGCTTGTCTCTAAGTATGGATGCAAGTGGCGGACAATATCTCTTTTCATGGTATCACGTTCTGATGTCGGCGTCAGAAACAGATACAGACTTCTCATGAGGCACAAAACTTCATCTTCGAAAGGAACGAGACGAGAAAGACAAAATTCAAAAGATGATGAAGTATTATCACCTTCGACACCACAGACAACACCACAGTATTCGTCTCCAGAAATGCAAACTACTGAGGTTTGCACAGATTCTGTTTCAAATATATCACAAGTACCAGTTACTTATTCCAACCAAGACATCAGTGGTGTTGACATATTCAATGATGATTTCGATTTCGACACTTTCTGTTTTGACTTCGAATTCTAATTTTTTTAAATTTTATTACTTGTTTTGATTGTTTGTTATAAAACTTACTTAACTCTAATAATAGCCTTCTAATTTATTCTTGTAACTGATTTCCAAAGACGTTGCAATTGAAATTTCAATTTCCGACTTTTTGAACATAAATTGTCTTGTCAATTTATATATTTTCTTCAATATCATGTATATTTAATTTTTATAAGATTAATTTATTGACGATAGAACCCGATAATTCTTCTCAATCCAAAAATTGAGAGTTTTTAAGATTAAATTGTGAAAATGTAAAGTATTGATTTGACAATTCCCAGCAAATTATCGAACTTTAAAAAATTTATAACAATTGCATTTGTTTATATTTTTATTCAATAAGTATCGCATAATAATTCTTTCTTGATCAAGAAAATTCAATCTTTGTTTGACATTTGATACTGTTCAAGTATTTAATTTATTTCACAAGAATTTTATAACTAAAACTACATTAGAAATATAAATTATAATTAATGAATCAATTTAATTTTATCAAGAACAATTATAGAAAATTTAAAATTAAACAATAATTTTATAGTTATATCTGTAATTATAAAAGAAGCACTGATCCTAGAGAATATTTCATTTCAAATTTGAAACATATTGAAAATGATATGTAAAACAATTATAAAGAAGGCTATTATTAGAGTTAAGTAAGTTTTATAACAAACAATCAAAACAAGTAATAAAATTTAAAAAAATTAGAATTCGAAGTCAAAACAGAAAGTGTCGAAATCGAAATCATCATTGAATATGTCAACACCACTGATGTCTTGGTTGGAATAAGTAACTGGTACTTGTGATATATTTGAAACAGAATCTGTGCAAACCTCAGTAGTTTGCATTTCTGGAGACGAATACTGTGGTGTTGTCTGTGGTGTCGAAGGTGATAATACTTCATCATCTTTTGAATTTTGTCTTTCTCGTCTCGTTCCTTTCGAAGATGAAGTTTTGTGCCTCATGAGAAGTCTGTATCTGTTTCTGACGCCGACATCAGAACGTGATACCATGAAAAGAGATATTGTCCGCCACTTGCATCCATACTTAGAGACAAGCTGCATGAGACTTTTGTCTTCCTCTTGTGACCATTCGTTTGTGTCGATTAATGGGCACAAATAATTGTTGTAACGCTCTCTGACTTGGCGAGAGTTCCTTCCTGGTAAAAATTTCGCAACTTGAGACCACTTGCAACCAAGAGAGCGAACTTTCTCAATGATGATCTTGTCTTCTTCTTCACTGAATTTGTTCTTAGTTGATCTCTTGTGATGATCTTCTGGGCAGTTATCTGAAACGCTCATGATAAATATGAACTTTCAAAATGTGACAAAAAATAATTCGAATAATAAATTTCGACAAAATGCGAAATAAACATAATGGACTATATGAATGAGTGTGAATAAAAACTTATCTCAAAAATTTTAATGGATTTCATTTTTCTTTGCCTTCTCAAACAGATTTATCGGATCCATCAAATTTTACGAAATTGCACTGATTTTTTGCAAGAAAGGATCTTTACTTATAGAAGAACAGGTGTTATTCTTTCCGATAAATTGCTTTCTGAAGTTCCAACTCTCTTATTAGAAAATTTAAATGGATTGTTCTCAAATGTTTTTGTTGAGAGCACGTTTTTTTACAATGACAAATTTTTTAAATGTTTTTAAATACCAATGCTAATGCGTTAAAATATTCTATTTGTCAATTTGAAAAAATGTCGTACAGTTATTTGTGAGTTGTTCTGGTTAGATAATTTCCTTGATATTTCTATTGATGAAATGAATACTCTTGATAATATATCAAGATTATATAAGCCACACGAAATTATCGGAAAAATATTTAACGTACTCTCTCAATATTTTGAGAAGATTGAAGAATGAATTCAAACTCAATCCTTTGATCTACATTTACATTTGTAAATATATATATGATTTTTCAACATATAGTATGAATAATATAAATCAAAACAGATACTACACGCATCAAACTTTACGATTTTGATATAAAAACATGTTTGATAATTTTTTATTTTTATTTTTCAAAAATGATAAAAACTTAGAAATATCATTCACAATATGCTCACACACTGCATAATACTATCACAATCACACTAATATATCCAAATAGAATACTCTATTTCTCAAAAACTAACAAAACAATAATAAAAATCATTCAACTTTCAACATTTATTATAAAAATATCATTACAAATGCTCACCGTATATCATTTCATTCTTATTTTACGTTGTTCTTTCATCCTCAATTATTTGGTTCAAATTATCTTAAATCAAGTATTTGTTTATATAATCTGTATATAATTTTGTTAAAAATTTATTTCCAAATGAGAATTTTCGTATAATCATAATAAAATTTTTTCAAAAATTTATATTATTCTAAAGATGCCTATATTGAATGACCACATCCAAATTTGCTCCAGCTTGTTTGGAAATTATTGCTTACACTAAATTGAAACAAATGATTTTATCATCGAAATTAAAATCGATAGCTAATAGTCAATACTTTGAAAAATTAATGTAAAACTATTCTGATTACGATTCATCACCAATTCATTAAAATACTTTTGCTAAATTTAGATTTTTCAACATTTATCCTCAGATTGGGCCTCCACTTTAATTCTGCAAACTTTTATCTATATTACAGTCTATAACTTTTCCCACCTGACCGAACAAATCAACAATTGTTATTTAAGTAGTATATGATGCGGGTTGTGTGACTTTTTTTGTAATCGTAAGAATTCTCACATAATTGAATGATTTTTGAACATACTTCCGAATAGCAGATTTTAAAAATTTATGAATAATTTATAAAAAGTTTTTATTCCTACAATTCCTATATTACCATTAATAAAAAGAATATATTTTTGACGAAGTGAAGATTCACACTTCGTCACAAAACTCCGAAAAAATAAAGTTAGATTTTTTTATTTAATATAAAATGTATGGAAAAAGAATAATATCTGATTTTGAACATTATTTGATTGATTTACTAATTGATCCACAAAGCTGTTGTAAAATTAATTTTGAATTTAAAATTAAAGGAACCGTAAATTTTGTATTTATTTATCACTTAAAAGAATATGACCGATATCATAATTTGATATATGAAACTAATATAATATTTGAAGATAACAAACTTACAAGCTTCGAACATGAAAATGATATAATATTCGAAGATGAAAAAAAGAAAGAGATTGAAAAGCAATTCAATGAATGCCTTTTAAATACATATGCGCACATTATAAGACATAAAATGAAATTAATTCCTTATTAATCAAAAATATTTTTTATCTTTATATAAAGATGACAAATAGAAAATTTTTCATTTTTGATATCTATTATTGCCCAAACGTGTATGGACTACATGTAGAACTTAAAATAAAGGAAAGGGATACATATGAAGAATATATAAAATTTTGTAGAAAAAACGATTATATACCGGAGTCAAAGAATATATTCTTGCAAAATATAAAACCTATTATAAAGGTCGGAAAGATTAAATTTCCGTGCATAGTAGAAATATACTTAGATGATGTATGTGACGAATTTCACAGACTAAATGAAAAAAAGACTTTATATAAAGATTTTGTTAAATTTCTTATTGAAAATTATTTGAAGCCTGAACATGTGATTCCAAAATATCACCGATGATATTTTAAAAAATAAAATAAATTATATTTTTTAAATAAAAAAATAATTTTTATCTGATAGAAATAATACCTACAAATGACGGTATATAAAAAATTGACTTCTTACGTAAAATTAAAACTAAGTTAAATTTATTTTTTTTTATTTTTTATTTTATAATAAATGAGTATAACAACTAATTCATTGAAATCTTTAAAGTTCACTAATTCAGAATTAGAAAATATTTTAGAAAATTTTGGAGACGGTTCTTATCCAACATATATGCAGAATGTGAAAGAGTTTTCCAGATTGTTGAATGAATTTAAATATAACGGACCAATTACTAAAAAGGCTATAATGAGATATTTATATCCCAAAAAAGTTGAAAAACAGGAGAATATTCCTCTTTATGGTCCAGAGGACCTGGGCTCAGAGAGCCTTGAAACACCTCCTGAATATTTTGAAGAAAAAATTAAACAAGATGAATATTATAACGATGAGATTGAGAAATTGGAACAATTAAGAAATGAAATAGATGAAAGAATTAGTGAATTGAGAAATGCTGAGAATGAAGTAGAGGGTTTAATGAATATCCCAGCTTCAGAATCAGAAGTTCAAAAATCACATGAGGAAAGATATAAAAATTACTTTTTGGAATCTACTAAAAATTTATTAGATGGTGATATTGACGAAACACTTTCAGAAGAAGGCACAAAATTTATTCATAAACATAAGCTTCAGTTTATTGACGATGGAGATTATCCATGTATATTACTTTCACCTCCTCTTGATTCTGAAAAATTCAAAAAAGCACTGAAAAATGTAACATATGCAACAAATACGATTAAGAAAGAAGACCATGATATTTACACAAATTATTATTTAAATAAATGTACAGGTGTTGATAAAGTTTTTGATTTGTTAGATAAAATATCAAAAGAAACAATTGAAACATATAAAATTTTATGTGATTGCGGTTTCATTGTTGAAGATACTAATAATGTTTCATATGAAAGAACAGCACCGAAGGAAGACGAAGTTGAAAGGTCTATACCATTCGTTATTAAGAACATAAAAGATATGAAAACTTATAAACATTATATTTATTCATTTATTTCAGAAAAAATGGAAGCAACCCATAAAACATCATCTCATCATTTTATAGCTATTCATACATTCCTTTTCAAAGTTGTGAAATTAAATAAGACAGGAATTAGATTTAATGTATCAGGGTACGCATTCTTGAGTAAATTAAAATGTATTCGTCACGTCGCAGATGATAAAAATTTATGTGTTCTTAATTCATTTTATGGACTTTAAAAAATAAACTTTATTTTTATTTATTTTTTAATTTTTATTCTTACATAAATGAATAAAAATGGAACAGCTAAAATGAATGATAATCAAATAAGAGCCGAAGGTAGAAGGTTATTTAAACGCTTCTATAACATTCCTGATGGTGTTAATCCTAAAACTCGTAGAAGTTATTTAAATGAAGCCATAGATGCATATGAAGGATTTGACATTTCATCAGAAAGTGAGAGGTTAGCAAGAATGTTAAACGTTAATATTGATTTTTATTATTGTGACCCTCAACCAGAAGACGTAGACATTAACAAGGTAGACTTTCCATTAGTGGAATCAATAATGATAGATCCAGAATTTGAAACAGTAAATATTTTATTAACACAGAGTCCATGTGGAAAACTTCACGCTGACAGAATTACAGACGTTGAAGCACTCACAGGATATAAAGTTTGCCCCTTTTGCAAAGAAGAAGTATATTCTATCCGTGATGATCCAGAAAGGAAAAACCAAAGAAGATTTTTAAAACATTGTGAGAAATGTAAAGAAAATAATGGAAGATTAATTCAAGACGTTCAATTGCAAAACACACAACAACCATATGCACCACATATCACGAAACAGAAGATATATCAATGGCTATTAGCACATAATTTGCAGGAATATTATAAACCAACAAGATATTATATTACTTTTGACTTCGAAACATTAGAGACTAAAGAAGAACTTCAACTTTCTGAATGTGCAACTTTGAACGCTTACTTAAAACCATTTATGGTATCATCAACTGTCAAAATAAAGCCGCAAAGCGGCGAGGTCGTAGACCGTGATAAAACATTTACGAGGAATTTTTGCTTAACATCAAGTGATTCGTTCATCTCTGATTGGATTGAATTTTTATTTTCAACCTGTTCATTAGTTGCTAAATCAAATATTGAACAATATGAAGAATTAATGAATACATTAAATGAGAAACAAAAGGAAGCAATGAAAGAGCTTTTAGATGAAGAATTTAATAAAGTGAATATCATTGGTTTTAATTCGGGAAAGTTTGATTTAAATTTAATTCTTCGTGATTTAAATACTGCAAAATGGAAGATAAAATCAATGCTGGGTTCTTCTTCTCAATTTAAGCAAGTCATAGTAAAGAAAACAAACTGTCCATATGAATTAAGATTTATTGACATCAGAAATTATATAGCGGGTGGAACATTAGACCAATTCACTCAAGATTTCGGAAACAATAAATCACGTGTTAAATCCTTTTTCCCTTATCAATTCATCACATGGGAGAATTACGAAGATGAATTATATAAAAAGGAACCATTCACTCAAGATTCATTTTATTCAGCATTAACACAAGAAACAATATCCGATTCAGATTATCAAATATATCTCAATGATGCTAAAAATTTTGAGAATAGATTAGAATATTTTATTCATTATTGCAATAAAGACGTTGAAATTATGATTGACCCAATTGATAAAATTATCGAAGAAACATTTGTTTATAAAATTGACATGCTTCATAATCTTTCTTTATCATCGAATGCATCAATGATTCGTTACGCGTTAGCATATAAGAACTTCAATCCTAACGAAACATATCCAGAAGAAGAAAATGTGGAATCAAGTTTTGAATTAACAAAAAAGTATTGGAAATATAAAATTGATTCATATAAGAAACAAGATGAAAAGGCGAAAAGAGATACCAAAAATAATGTTTCAATGGATGATTTTCAATACTATCACGATTTAATCCTTTCATCTAAATGCAAAATGTGTGGTAAAGCGTTTACATATGTAAATAAACCAACATTGGATAGAATCGATAATGAAAAACCACATACCAAAGAAAATTGTCAGTTAATGTGTTGTTATTGCAATGTCGTGAAATCAAATAAAGATGAAGATGTTCAACGTTTAAGAATCAATTTAAGAAATTATGCATTAAAAAATAATTTACCAATGACTTTAGATTCAGTTGAAGCTTATCACATTCTCCGTAATGGAATTACTGGTGGTCTATCAAATGTTCAACATCGTGTTAATCTTAAAGGAATCACGCACATTAATAAACTTTCATATAATCCAGAAACTAAAACTGTATCAAATGAGGACACCACCAACATTATGACTCATTTCGTTGGAGTTGACTTTAATTCATTATATCCTTCATCATTTTCATCTAATCCTCATGATTTCATTCAATATACTGACCATAAAATGTATATGCCGGGAAGATTGAATGGTGTTATCATTTGTGATACAGCAACAAAGAAAGCAAAAGCACTGGGAATAATTAAGAAGAAAAATACTTTATTCGTGGCTGAAGTAAAGGGTCACATTGATGAAAAATACATTAATGATTACATAAACTTTTTACCGATAATAAGAAACTTAGATATTATCACAGATGAAAAAACAATTGGCAGTTTTATGTATAATTACATGAAATCAAACAATCTACCAGTTGACCAGAAACAGAGAAAATTAACTCAGTTAGCATCAACACACAACCAATATCAACCATTTTCTTCTTATTATCTTTGGTATCTAATAGACAGATTTCATTTTATCATTGATGACATTCAATCAATTTTAACATTTACTAAAAACACTTGTTTTAATGAATTTGCGAACAAATTTATGAACGAAAGACAAAAGGCTGAATTAGAAGGAAATAAAGGAAAAAGTTTATTTTGCAAGATTTCACTTAATGGATCATATGGTTACGATGCAATGAATACACAAAATTACGCAAAGACTAAAATAATGAATGCACAGGCACGCGTTGCATGTATGTCAAATAAGTTTAAAAACATAAGAGAAATAGGTGAAGGATACATATCAAGTGATGCTCAAAGATAGATTTTATAGATGTGATACATGTTTACAAGAGGCATTTTTTACTTTAGATAATGCTAAATACTGGTATTTAGTTTTCATTTATGATTTTATGTATAAATGCATGAATCTTAATCGTTTTCATTTCATTGAAGGTGATACTGATTCATCTTATTGGGCTATTGCTGGCGATCCAAGTCTTCCTAACACTCAAGCATTTCAAGCAATTGTTACAGATAAACAATTTTATGATAAAAACATTTTCAAATTCGCACCATTTGATTTCTTTTGTTTTGATGAGAAATTTAAACCTAAATTAAAGAATAAAGCTGAAGAAAAAGCACATGAGAAGAAGTTATTGGGTTTAGCAATTGAGAAACAAGGTGATAACATGGTTGCTTTATGTCCTAAGTGTTATACATCATTCAACGGTTCAATTGATGGAAGTGATTTTAAAAAGATTGCACAAAAAATGAAAGGTGTTAGTTTACGACAAAATAAACAATTAACACCTAAAAATTATTTGGATATAATAAATGATAAATTGATATTTGATGGTCAGAATATTAATTTACAACTTAAAAATGGGTCAATGACTCGCTTAACAATTGGTAAGACTGCATTAACAGGAGCACACACTAAGGCTGTATGTTGTGAAAATGGATGTTGTATGCCATTTATTTAATACAATTTAAAATTTTATTTTTAATAAAATGCCACAGAAGAGACAAAAGGAACCACAACGAATTTTTTAAATCCCATCACAGCATCAACAGCAACAACAACCGCCACCATTTGATACCGTTTTAGAAGAAGGAACCGTTAATGATGCGATTCAATATGTAAATAATGGTTTTGATACTATGATTCAAAGAGGTGGGCACCCTTAAAACATTGATTTTATTTTTATATAAATGGATAACGTAGATTTAAAAATTTTAATTGCTGATTTAGTATTTAGTCAAAATTTTCTTGATTATTATGATTTAAAATCATATCTCCAAAAACATAATAACAATATAACGGGTGATGATATGGAATATTATTATCCATATTATAAAAATGAAATTTTGAAATATCATAATAAAATAATTTCTGAAATTAAAGACAAAATTAAAAATAATGAATATACAAAGGGAAAAACTAAATCACAACTTAAACAGTTGAAAGATTTCAAAAATAAAGTATTAACAGAAGAAGATATTGATGAATTATATAAATTATATAATCATGAGCCGCAAAAACAAAAGGAACAAAACGCCCAGGTTCTTCAGACCATAAATGATGCACAAGCTTTAATTTATGATTCATTAGTTAAACCATATTCAGCCCGACTTTTAAATGAAGATCAACTTTTGGAATTCATCCTTCAACATAAACTCGAAGCGGGAAAGTATATCAAACCTTTATATACAGCATATTTAAAACAAATGAATAGAATACATCCAGAATTAATGAAGGAAGGAATGAAATCCAAAATCAAAGCAGATAAAATTAAACCACTTGCAACACCAAAACCTCCAACGACAGTACCGCCTCCTCCTTCAGTTAATCCTTCATCATTCACTTTATTATATCCATTTCAAACATTAAAGAAGCAAAAAGATTTTAAAAAGGATTTCAAGATATTAAATAAACCAATTGACCCGAAAATTCAACCGTTAAAGGAAAAATTTAGTCGCCCTTCATTTGCACCATATCCATATTCATACGAAATCGATCATCTGGAATATTCAAAAGGAAACGTTACTTATTTATTTGCCATTAACATTAACACTAGATATTTATATTGCATTCCGGTGAAAGGGAAAACAGAACAGGAAACAAGAAGAGCTATTCAATACTTACTAGATCATGAAAGAGTAGATAATATCAGGGGTGATGGTGATAAAGGATTTCAGGCAGCTATGACTCATTATTTCCCACAAATTAATTTTTTCTTCTCATCCTCTCCATATACGTTTCATAATAAAATAGTTGATGCGGTAATGAGAACTCTTAGAGATGCGTTAGGGGTTAACGGTCAGATATACTGGGATGGAAATCATGACTCCATCATACAGCAGTTAGTATATTATTACAATAATACATGGCATAGAACTATAAACATGAAACCGGTGGAAATGAAAAATGATATTTCAAAAGAATGGGAATATATTAGAAAGCAAATGGAAAAGTTAAATGATGTTAAACGTGAACAAATTAATTCGGGGCTCATGAATTTTAAACAAGGAAATAAAGTTTTAATTCATCTCGATTATGGAAAAACTGATAAATCAATGACAAAAAGAAGACGAAGATTTGACACAATAGCTGAATTTGTTAGATATATTAACGGCAATGCATTAGTTGAAGTTGACAATAAATTAATAGAAATTCCGATTTATTTTATTACTCCATTATATTTAAACAATATTTAATTTTTTTATTTCGTAAGAAATGAGTGACAACGAAGCAGCCAAGAGTCCAGACGATGAATATAAAAAGAAACTAAACAGAATTAAATCAAAAATATGCTATTACAAAAAGAAGCCACAATGCGGTGGGGTTGATGCCCATAAAACTAAAGTAATTGAAAACGATGAAGAAATAATCGAAAAATTAGAAACTTACCGTTCAATCCTTAAACTGAGTGAAGCAAAAATAAAAGAATTTAATAGAATAAATAAATTGATTGGAAGAGATGAATTTAATAAAGATGAATTTTTAAACTCAATCCAAATTTAATTTTTATTCCTCTTTGACAACATCTCTCTTTCCATCATTACTGCATAACCACATTTTCTCAATTTTAGTGGTTTGTTATTTTTAACATGTTCTTGCATCATTTTTATCATTTCCTCCCTTGTTATGATTCGTGGTAAATTTTGAGCTTGTGGGGTATTCATTTATGATAAAAATAAAAATTTAAATTATGCCGTTCTAAAGTTTGTGACAACATGACATTTAGACAACAACACAGGAGGAAGGCAGTTATGAATTATTTTTGAATAACTGAAGGTGCTACCATGTTACCATGTGCTACCAGGTCATTTAACTTCTCTGAAAAAACGAGACAACATGACATTTAGACAACAACACAGGAGGAAGGCAGTTATGAATTATTTTTGAATAACTGAAGGTGCTACCATGTTACCATGTGCTACCAGGTCATTTAACTTCTCTGAAAAAACGAGACAACATGACATTTAGACAACAACACAGGAGGAAGGCAGTTATGAATTATTTTTGAATAACTGAAGGTGCTACCATGTTACCATGTGCTACCAGGTCATTTAACTTCTCTGAAAAAACGAGACAACATGACATTTAGACAACAACACAGGAGGAAGGCAGTTATGAATTATTTTTGAATAACTGAAGGTGCTACCATGTTACCATGTGCTACCAGGTCATTTAACTTCTCTGAAAAAACGAGACAACATGACATTTAGACAACAACACAGGAGGAAGGCAGTTATGAATTATTTTTGAATAACTGAAGGTGCTACCATGTTACCATGTGCTACCAGGTCATTTAACTTCTCTGAAAAAACGAGACAACATGACATTTAGACAACAACACAGGAGGAAGGCAGTTATGAATTATTTTTGAATAACTGAAGGTGCTACCATGTTACCATGTGCTACCAGGTCATTTAACTTCTCTGAAAAAATGAGACAACATGACATTTAGACAACAACACAGGAGGAAGGCAAAAATAAATTCCAATCATACTTTATAAAGCTTCATTTACAGGTATTTCATCGTCAGTAAATGAATCCTCATTATCGTTTGGTTCAACCTGTTTATATAATCCTTTCATTTCTTCTTTCAAAACATAACACCATGTTTGTTTACCGTCTATTCTTCTATGTTTCCTATCACATTTATCCTTAATGCTCATTTGGAAATTCTTGTCTTTCATGTCTGATGGTTTGCAGAATAGAGCATTTTCACACGTCATACCTGCACACAATTCATCATAATGTGTATTTATCCATACATCTAAAGGATTTGTTGATAATTCTATTAAATCTTGTTTGGCTTCAGTCATCGGAATGATTCGTACATTAAATGATGAAAGGTCATATTGCATAAAATACGTCAGTAAATTATCATAAAATTCCTTTGTGCATGAATCCATTAAATTCTTGAAGTAATCAAATTGACCCTTGAATTTACCATTAACTCTTAAAACTACATATCTTCTGTCTCCAACTTCAATTTTGACAGGGTAAACGTTATTAGTTACGAAAATGAAGTTTGCAACATTCTGAGTAGTTCTTCTGGGTTGATTCTTTTCATTAATTCTAATCTCATTATCCGTAATAATTGATTTCAAAGCGTTGAAGTTTGCGAGTCTGTCTTCACCTACATTCTTGAGTTCATTAAGTACAAGAAACATTTTATTTTCAACTACTGAGTTGAAATTACCCGTTAGCTCACTTATTTCAGTAATGTTTTTACATGAATAACCAGCGAGAAGTTCAGAAATAATGTCTGTAAATCTGTTTTTACCTGTTCCCTGAAGTCCTTTCAAAATAATTGCTGTTTCATTCTTGATTCCAGGATGTTGAATCATTGATGCAATCCAGCCGAGAAGGTATTTATACACTTCATCGTTATTATCACAAATGGCTTCTTTAATGAAATCCATAAACATCTCAATTTTTGAGTAATCTACTTTTTCGAGAATGTTGTATTTATAACCTTGAAAGGTTGAGAAAACATCTGGAGAATCAGATTTAAAGCAAACACCCTTAACAGTTAATGAAGACAATTGATTTAGTAGTACATCCCATGCTGTTGTTGTTTTACCTTCTTCTTTAAATAATTTAATCATTTTGAGTGACTCTTTCATGTTTGATTGAAGAACGAATGATATTTGATTCATTTTGTCGTGTATGTTGTAATCTTTCTGAATGAAATATTTGTTTCCACAATCTACAAAACGAATTACACGTGATAAATCCTCAATTACTTCAGAACTGTTTTTATACTGATGATTTTCAGCCTTGCGTCTAATATCTGTTATCAAAAACGAGTCATCAAGTTTGATATCAAATGTTATTTTTGGCTTACGTAATAAAGGCAAAACGTATTCATCATAATATTCCTTTTGATAAAGTTTTAGAATCTTCACTAAAACAAATGGAGAAGTCATTAAATGTGTATATCTACTACGTGCTTTTTCAAAATTACTTTTAGCATTTTCTGTTAAACTGCAGAAGTTATAAACGTTATCGTATGCTTCATTAATTAAATGATCCGGTAACGAATTAATTGCTTGAAACAGTGTGAATAATGTAACTTCTTTTTCTAAATTCATGTTTCCACCGTCATTATGTACTTCAAAATCACAGATGCCATCAACTATGCTCTGGGCAAGTTTATCGTCAATGTTTACATCTTTGGTTTCATTCATTATACTCTTTATTTCTTCGTTCTTCTGTTCAACTCTTACCTTAATATTCAAATCATTTAATATATCGTTTACTGTTCTAGTTAATGTTGAATCATAACTTCCACGAATGAATGAGTATGTATTGATTGGTTCTGTTGCATTCTTGCGAACTCTTGAATCAGCCATAACCACTAATGAACGCTTTGAATCATCCATAGAAGTCATGATATCAATATCATAATCATTGCAGGAATAACATTTAATCATTCTGTTCGAAACTGCATAGAAGAAATTAGTGTTGCAATAAATGTGAAGACCTCCTGAAGCTGTTTTAACGATAACATCTTTATCCGAAAGTTTTGATAAAATATCTTTTCTAACTGTTTCTTTAAGTTCATCATTGTATGATTTATTGATATCAACATCTATAATCGTTAAATTTGATATTTTATTTACTAATAAAGCCATACCAGTTTTCCTTCCTCTTCCTCCATCATGTTTGAGGTAGTTATGTAAATCAATCTTGTTTTCACCAATTCTTTCGTTGAGGGTTTTAGTTTCTGCCACAACTAATTCCTCAGCTAATGAATCAATAACTTTTTCATCAGAAATGATAAAGTTGCCGTTGTTGTTTGTTGCTGTCATTTATATAGGAATAAAAAAATAAAAATAATTTTAAAACTAACTTTATTTTTGGGTCATTTACACTCATTCCGATGAAGAAATCATGACAAAACATATACGTTCATTCCGATGAAGAAATCATGAAAATTCATGAGGTGAGAAATTAGGTGAGAAAAGAGGTGAGATCTCACCTCTTCACCTAAAATATATTTTTGGGTCATTTACACTCATTACGATGAAGTCATAACTGCCTTCCTCCTGTGTTGTTGTCTAAATGTCATGTTGTCTCATTTTTTCAGAGAAGTTAAATGACCTGGTAGCACATGGTAACATGGTAGCACCTTCAGTTATTCAAAAATAATTCATAACTGCCTTCCTCCTGTGTTGTTGTCTAAATGTCATGTTGTCTCGTTTTTTCAGAGAAGTTAAATGACCTGGTAGCACATGGTAACATGGTAGCACCTTCAGTTATTCAAAAATAATTCATAACTGCCTTCCTCCTGTGTTGTTGTCTAAATGTCATGTTGTCTCATTTTTTCAGAGAAGTTAAATGACCTGGTAGCACATGGTAACATGGTAGCACCTTCAGTTATTCAAAAATAATTCATAACTGCCTTCCTCCTGTGTGTTGTCTAAATGTCATGTTGTCTCATTTTTTCAGAGAAGTTAAATGACCTGGTAGCACATGGTAACATGGTAGCACCTTCAGTTATTCAAAAATAATTCATAACTGCCTTCCTCCTGTGTTGTTGTCTAAATGTCATGTTGTCTCATTTTTTCAGAGAAGTTAAATGACCTGGTAGCACATGGTAACATGGTAGCACCTTCAGTTCTTCAAAAATAATTAATTATTGAATGACCTGAAACCATTAACGTAATCATTAACGTAAACATTTATTTCTGCAGTTCATTACCTAATTAATTACAGACATAAAATATATTTAGTTCATTCGGTAAGCCTAAACCCTTTGGGTCAAGTCTCAAGTGTGTTCATTGAACTCTATACCATGCGAATACAGTCATAAATGGTGGCATGTATTCTTTACTTTGTCCCGTTGTTTGTGTATATCCTGAAACGAAATGTGTATGGTTTCCTTCTCCCTGAGTGTCATCCCAGTAACAATTTATAGCAAACTTAACGTCGTCTTTAACATCATATCCTTTACCTTTTGTCATTCCTGACCAATCCCAATATCTATGCTTATGCCAACCCGCTTGAGATGTACTTAAATCTATGTAATGACTGTGTGCAGGTAAATTTTCACCTGAAATCGTTTTACTTCCCCCTGTTTCCTTTGAAGAGTTTGCACAATACAAAAACCTGTCGACTATTTGTTCCCATGCACCAACACCAAACATTACTTGAGGACCTCTTGCATCCATAGATGTATAAATAGAACCTACTGGGTTCATTAAATCAAACATATGAGATATTATAGGATTGTCTCTTTTGAACTTAAGATATAGTGTAACTATTTCAGGTTTCTTCTGGTTGTGTCAGAATATTTTTATAATATAATCTTATGTTTTCAGGGTAGCTAAAATCTTGACTATAATATTTATTTCTGTCATCTGTATAATAATATACTATTCTCGTTTTTTCTATTGCATTATATCTTTTATATCTATAATAATCTAAATATAATGTTAGCTTTTGTTCATCTACATGTGGTGTTCTGTCGTCATCTCCATAGTCATAATAATATGGTGCTGGAGCTGGGTCAGCCAACGTCATACCTGCCATTTCATAAACTCTTAAATATTTCTTTTGTTCGTCTCCATATAAGTTTAAGTAGCAGTTGTTGTCTAATGGAACTTTAACTTGTGTACCATTATTCTTTATATAGCCTACATACATTTCATTGTTATTTTTCGGAATGAGTTTATACCGTATACCATTTTTTAAGGAGTGTACAAACTCCCATCTAAAATATTTGTTTTCTTCATAGATAGAAACATCCCCAACAATAGTTTCAATATTTTTTGTTGTTCCTATCAAACTTTGGTATATTTCATCCACATAAGTTTTATCTGCCTTCTTATTTAACTCACTATCAACATATTCCTTATCTGCCTTCTTATTTAACTCACTATCAACATATTCCTTATCTGCCTTCTTATTTAACTCACTATCAACATATTCCTTATCTACCTTCTTATTTAACTCATCGTTAACATAAGTTTTATCTGCCTTCTTATTTAACTCATCGTTAACATAAGTTTTATCTGCTTTAAGATCTAAACATCCTGAAACCCATTCTGTATCAGCTTTAACTTTAAAAGTCTCAAATGTCCATTCATGATACCATTCAACCCTTTCTTTAATTTCATTATCTTTTTCATCAACATAAACCAAATTTGCCTTCTTATTTAACTCACTATCCACATATGTTTTATCTGCTTTCTTCATTATGTCATTTAGGAAACCTTCTATGAATTCCTCATTTAAATTAAATCTTCCAATCTTCAAAACTTTAGGAAATGCATTTAATGCGTAATATCTCTGTTCTTCTGGTGGAATTGATGTTATATCATCCGTTATTCCTTTAATTTTTGAATTCATAAATAAAATTTCTTTTATATTTGATATCACTGCACCACCTTGCAAACGAATTCGAAATGGTCATTTTTCAATACTATCTCCAAATCTCCATATTTCAACCTTTGCGTTTGTTCTGCCGTCTTTGAATTATATGCATATATGGCGTATGTAATGGTCTGAGGGACCTGGGTGCTTTGTGCCTTAAGTTGTTGTGTTGTTTAATCATTTATTATGATTTAAAAATAAATATTTAATCCGTTATCTCATCAGCTATTTTTTCTATTTGAAATTGCCATAATATTTCATTCAAATTCTAAATCACAATCAAATAGGTCAGTTATTCTAAATTTAATATTTGATAAATCTTTTGAATGAAGAATAAATGAATTCCCGGATAATTGAAACGGATATGATAAAGAAAATGTGTTTAAGTTGATGGATAAAATGTTTTGTATTGATGGGTAAGAGTTAGGGTCTAATGTTTGATGTGAAAATCTCATTGGGGTATTAACTTTATCACATTTGATTAAAATGAAATTGGAACCAGTGTCAGAATACAAAACATCCCCAACATCTTTTTCAAAATTTAATATCCCCAACAATGAACGAAGATGAGGAGTACAAAATTTAATTTTCAGCGGAAATTTAATAAGGTTATTTATTTCATCAAGTTCAAAAAGTTTATCGGGTTTTGATTTAAAATTTTCTTCATACCATACGATAAATGATTCATTTAAATAACTTAAAATCATGTTAATATCCCATTTCGCTATCACATTATTTATATACATATCATACGTTTTTTCATGGTCATCTTTAATAAATGATATATAATCTGAAGGGTCTAAAAGAATGGGATTAAATTTACCACTCACAGAAACGAGAGTAACATTATAAATTCCGCTAACTGTTAAATTTAATTCACAACTATTATTCGAAATAATATTGATAATTGACATTTTTATTACGATTAAAAATATGGTAAAGCGTTATTTTCCAGTGATAAATAAAACTAGAATAAGATTACCTCAAGAATTCATAAATTCAACGAATAAGAAATTCATTCATGTTATAAATTTTAGTGTTTTCAGAAAATATGAGTCAATGTCATATTCATCAACAGGTTATATTTCACTTCATTCAAATTTAGTTCAATCAAACCCATATAATGACCATTTCATAAGATTTTCAGATGGTATTAAAAATGTAATTGATAGATTAAAATATGAACAGATTGACAATATCGAATTTTTGGAATTTTGGTTTAAATATCCGATGGAAAAAAGATTGAAGTTAAAGATAAAGCTGATACTATAACAAAAACAATTACAATGACCGATCCGGATAGTGGGGAACAAAAAGAAATAAAACAAACGATAGAAACTGGTGAAAGGTCAATTATTATTGATTATGATTCAAAGGATTATTATTCGATAATGTTAATGCTTGAATATTAAATAGCCTTAACAAAGAATTTTTCAAGTGATATTTTATATTCATCAACTATTTTATTGTATATGTTATTATAAGTTAAATGTAGTTCAGTTGTTGCTCCGTTCTTTGATATCTTAATTGTGCTAATATCCTTTATAGGATTTATTTTTGCAACTGTTCCGCAGCATGAAACCTCATCATCTATGAAAAATTGAATCTTAACGTCTGAATCTTGAACATCACAAAGAATGGCGATAATGTGAATTAATGATTCATAAGGTAAAATAATTAAACCAGATTGGTCAATTAAATTTATTATTGAATCATAATTATTAATTATTATATCACGGTAAATTTTCATTAATTCAGAATTAATGTCTACTTTATATGGCGCATTGCGACTGGAATCGTAGATTCCTGGGTTCTCGATGTTTGATGAAAGAGGTGGGGGTATGTTGGATAAGTGGGAATTTCAACGGGTTCTTTACCGGGTTCAGATAAAATGATTGGGTCTTCATCTTCTTTATTTTGCTCCTCCTCTTTCTTTGGTAAGTCACGAGTTAATAAATTGGACTGTGTTGCTGACCTTGTTAATTCAGGACTAACATTAACTTTAACATTTTGAATAATTCGTGATTTATCATCATTTACGTTATAACCAACCGTAATCTCTGCTTTTGCGTTTGTGTTCTTTTGACTTGTGAAACGTCTTCTCATTTATAATTGAATAAAAAAAAGAAAAATATATTTAAAGTTTTATTTAGTTGTTACGGTAATATCCCAAGGTTCATCCTTGTTTGCTTATACTTTCTTTGTAACTGCACCAATTATGTTATTGATATGCTTTGAGTTTCTTCCAGTCTTATTTTATCATTTACAATATCTTTAATCATTTCATTACATGCATTCTTAAAACCATCTGATTTTTCTAATTTACGTCTATCACTTTCTTTAATTAAATCAAAGTTATAACCTTGTTGAGAATAAAGTGGTTTCTTTATCAATTCCTTGAACGCTTCTGAAAGTGAAGATGAAGAAATTCTTG